AAATACAAAAAATCAGCTGGGCATGGTAGTGCATGCCTGTAATCCCAGCTACTCAGGAGGCTGAGGCAGGAGAATTGCCTGAACCCAGGAGGCGGAGGTTGCGGTGAGCTGAGATCGCGCCATTGCACTCCAGCCTGGGTAACATGAGTGAAACTCCGTCTCAAAAAAAAAAATAAATAAATAAAATATAAGCCTTTAAAGTTAAGCATATTCATTTTGAAGACAAATATTACAAACATAATGAAGGTTGTAGCACATTTACTTGTATCACAGATCTTATCACCCACATTTTGTGCTAGAGAAAAACCCTGAAGCAGTTGCTCAAACTTTGTTCAACATCGGGCATTCTATGTTGGAGAAAAACTGCAAATGTAATAAATTTGGAAAAACATACTTCTCAAAACCTATAGCTTAGAAAATATAAGAAAGTTTATACTAAAATATGTTTTTGCAGGCCAGACATGGTGGCTCACACCTGTAATCCCAACACTTTGGGAGGCCAAGGCAGGTGGATCACCTCAGGTCAAGAGTTCGAGACTAGCCTGGTCAACATGGTGAAACCTCATCCCTACAAAAAATATAAAAATTACCCAGACATGGTGGCTGGTGCCTGTAATGTATTCCCAGCTACTCAGGACGTTGAGGCAGGAGAATCGCTTGTACCTGGGAGCAGTGAGCGAAGATTGTGCCATTGCATTCCCACCTGGGTGACAAGAGTGAAACTCTCTCTTAAAAAAATAATAATTTTATATATATATATATACACACATATATATATTTGCAGATGCAGTAATATAAAACTATTTTAATACGAAGTTTATGTAAATATCTTACAGTAAAACTAAGGCACTGAGTGAGACATTACAGTAAATCAGAGTGCTGAGTATAAAAAATAACCCAGAACTAAAGTTGGTAGATAAATCATTTGTATATAACTGTAAAAGATGCAGAAAGTTTTTTGAAAAGTTATAATTACATTCAAAGTATACTTTTAGCTGGGCATGGTGGCTCACGCCTGTAATCCCAGCACTTTGGGAGGCTGAGGCAGGCAGATCACCTGAGGTCAGGAGTTCAAGACCAGCCTGATCAAAATGGAGAAACCCCATCTCTACTAAAAATACAAAATTAGCTGGGCGTGGTGGCACACACCTGTAATCCAGCTACTTGGGAGGCTGAGGCAGGAGAATCGCTTCAATCCAGGAGGTGGAGATTGTGGTAAGCCGAGATCATGGCATTGCACTCCAGACTGGGCAACAAGAGCAAAACTTCATCTAGAAAAAATTTATATATATATATACTTTTTAAAAAACAGATTTGTAACATGAATAATGTCATCATTTCAACTGTAAAATTACTTCATGCTCTTTATGCCTATTGTATGAGACTTTCAAATTAGGAGGGCATTCGTTATGATCTTTTATATGGAAGGGTAAGGACATTAAAATGCAAGACAAATGACAAATATCTAAGTTGAGAGGCTCTTTTTAACATAGGCGGTGCATGAGGTAGGTGTTCAGAATAATATTCTGCATTATAGTGAGGAAAAAGCATTTTACTTTTGTTTGTTTTTTTGAGGTGGAATCTCTCCCTGTCATCCAGACTGGAGTGCAGTGGTGCAATCTCGGCTCACTGCAACCTCCATCCACCTCCCAGGGTTCAAAGGATTCTCCAGCCTCAGCCTCCTGAGTAGTTGGGATTACAGGAGTGCACCACTACGCCCAGCTAATTTTTGTATTTTTAGCAAAGCCGGGGTTTCACCACGTTGGTCAGGCTGGTCTCAAACTCCTGACCTCGTGAGCCACCAACCTCAGCCTCCTAAAGTGCTGGGATTACAGGCATGAGCCACTGTGCCTGGCCAAAAAAAGCATTTTAAATTTTAGTTGAAATTAGTAGTATATCATTTTACTGATTGTACTGTTATGTAATAAAATGTATATTCTTAAAATTTTAAATTATGTGTGAACTTAATTTTTTTAAATTTATTTAACAATGTTTAGAGAATTGTGCATTTAATAAAGTGTTAATATTCCACTACTTATTTCACCTTACTCAAGGGTGTAGGCAAAAGATGGTAACAATATACTATTTGGTAACCTTATGAACAAATATTTCTAGTAATTCCTTTTGCCAGTGACTTGAAACTGCAAGGAGGTTAAAGAATATTGTTCCTATAGGTTAAATATTTATTTTTTCTTGAATTTATACTTTATAATTTTTGTGGATACATTGTATATATTTATGCCACATATAGCATATTTTAATACAGGCATATAATAAGTAGTAATTACATCAGGGAAAATTAAGTGTCCATCATCTCCAGCATTAATCCTTTGTATTACAAACCAATTCTGTTATAGTTTGTTTTAAATGTACAGTTGTTATTGACTACAGGTCTATTTTTATGGTTATAATAAAAATTATATAGAAGTATAAAGTACACACATTCTGAGTCCTGAATAAACATTTTAAAAATTGTTATATAGTTTTGAACATGTGGCCTCTCTGCCTGCAAACACATACAGATTCTTAGTTTTGATTTACGTAAAGTTAAATATACAATAAATATGCATTACTTTTAAGTTAAACCTTAGGTATAAGAAAATTTTAGGCCGGGCGCGGTGGCTCAAGCCTGTAATCCCAGCACTTTGGGAGGCCGAGGCGGGTGGATCACGAGGTCAAGAGATCGAGACCAGGATGGTCAACATGGTGAAACCCCGTCTCTACTAAAAATACAAAAAATTAGCTGGGCATGGTGG